GGACCGAAACGATCGGATTGGAAAAACATACAAGAAGAACAATGTTTGACATCCTGCCCGTGAAAAATGATGTGCGGAACAGAGTGGGGCGTCTTCCGAACAGAGTCGGGGGAGAGAGGGGAGCAGCATTCAGAATGTGTAATTATATGGTGGCGAAGGAGGAGAAAGGAGGGGGAGGAGGAGGAGAAGAAGGGAGGAGGAGGAGGAGGAGGAGGAGGAGGAGGAGAAGGAGGAGGAATAGTACGAGGCGGAGGAGGAGTACGAGGAGGACGAGTACGAGGAGGAGGAGGAGGAGGAGTACCAGGAGGAGGAGGAGGAGGAGGAGGAGGAGGAGGAGGAGGAGTTGGAGGAGGGGTTGAAAGAGTTAAAAGAGGAGGAGGAGGACGACGACGACGACGACGACACGACGACGACGACGACGACGACGACGAGGGGGCAGGGAGTAGGGGGGGAGGAAGGAGGAGGAGGAGGAGTTGGAGGAGGAGGAGGAGGACGACGACGACGACGGCAGCAAAGAGAAGCCGCGAGGAGGAGCTGCACTTGCCGTATCGCGTTGCTGGGTCGTTTGGTCGTCGTTGTTGTCTCCTCTTCCGCCTTCTCATCCTCCTTATCTTCCTTCTCCTCCTCCTCCTCCTCCTCCCTCCTCCTCCTCCTCCTCCCCTCCTCCTCCTCCTCCTCCTCCTTCCTCCTCCTCCTCCTCCCTGCCTCCTCCTCCTCCTCCTCTCCTCCTCCTCCTCCTCCCTCCTCCTCCTCCTCCTCCTCCTCCTCCTCCCTCCTCCTCCCCCCCTCCTGGCCTTCCTCCTTCCTTTCCTCACTCCCCACCAAGGGGCCTTATCCTCCTCCTTGTCCTCCTCCTTAACAGTTACACATTATGAAGGCTACTCTCCTCTTGGTCTAGCTGCAGCGTTGACGTCATTTGTTGCGGATAATCCAAATCGTGTTTCCGCTACAGTGGTGGCTCTCGTTTTCTTGTTTCTGCTCTTTCCGAACCGTTCGTTTACATGTTCGTCTTGCGTCATGTCTGGTTTCCCTCCGAACATGTTACGCTCTGCCATGCTGTTCTACGCCGTGCTACGCCGTGCATTACCATGCATCTCGTACCCTCTCGGGAGCATCGCCTTGCTCGGCATCCGATTGTGCGTATCGAGATGCGTTCTACGCGGTGGTGAGGGATGGGAGGGAGGAGTAGGACGTCAGATAAGACGCTTGCGCACCTAGCTTGCCCTCCCCCTCCTCTTTCCTCCTCGTCCTCTTCCTCCTCATCCTCCTCCGTCCCCTCCTTCACCTTCACCTTCTCCGCCTCCCCCTCCTCCGCCTCCTCCTGTCTCTTTTTTCACCTTCCCTCTCCTCCTCCTCCTCCTCCTCCTCCTCCTCCTCCTCCTCCTCCTCCTCCTCCTCCTCCTCCTCTCCTCCTCCATTCCTTTTCCATGCCGTTTCCTCTCGAATAATTCCTCCATGTGGGGCTGGACGCCAGTCGAATGGGCGGGCCAGGCGTTTTGCCTGAAATTTGACAAAAGCTTCACGTATGGAGGGCGGGTGGTTTTCAAAATGTGGCTCTCGCCTCGGCGCCGCGCACGTTCGTCATAGAAAATTGCAAGAGCTTCACGGATGGAGGGCGGGTGGTTTTCAACATATGGTTCTCGCCTTAGTGCCGCGCGCATTCGTTTTACCAGGTTACAAGAGCTTCACGGATTGAGGGCGGTTCGTGTTCATTGTGTGGTTCTCGCGTTGGCGCCGCGCGCATTCGTTGACATGTTCAAGGGTTTCATGGGTTCCCATGGCCAACGTACCAGAAATTGCATTTTGGAACGGTTCGGGATTGTCAGGGCGCAGCAGTTCCGCTGACTCGCGATGTTGAAGTCCCAGGAATGGCATTCTAGCACGATTCAAGATCGTCAAGACGCAACAGTCACATTGATTCGTGGCGCTGGAGTCCCGAGAACTGTGTTGTTTGGTGATGGACAGAACCCCCACCCTGACACGTCGATTACTGAATGAACCGTTGTAGGTTCTCGAGAGGGCGCCGCTGCAGTCATGTGCCAGGCTTGCGCCCGCCAGATGTGGTCCCGAGGTCGTTTGGTGTCCTTTCCATACCCGAGTTTTGGCACGCTTCAGGGTCTTCACACGGTTGTCTCCCAACGGGGCACTTCTTTCAGTGGACATGAATATTTGCAGGGGCCTGTGAAGAGGGAGCTTGGAGGGAGGGTGGATTCCAGCATCGTTGATGAGTCTTGGGCTTGCACTGGTCCTCCTCCTCCTGCTCCTCCTCCTCCTCCTCCTCCCTCCGTCCTCCGTCCTCCTCCTCCTCCTCCTCCTCCTCCTCCTCATGATCCCCCTCCCCCACCACATCATCATCCCCATCCCCATCCTCCTGCCTCCTCCTTTCCCCCCCCCTCCTGCCGCCTGCCTCCCCATCGGCGCGCGAGGTGCCCATCCCGTACCCCTGCTACCCCGTGGGCACGAACCCGAAGCAGGTGTTCAGGCTCCACGAGAACGGCTGGACTCCGCACAGCGCTCTCTCTCTCTCTCTCTCTCTTGCTCTCCCTCTCTCTTCTCTCTTCTCTCACCCCTTCTCTCTTCGCTCTCCTTCTCTGTTTCTCTCGTTCTCTCTTTCTCTATCCTTTTCTCTCTCTCTCTCTCTCTCGCTCGTTCTCTCTTCTGCGAGGCGTCCGAAAGGCGCTGCAGAGGGGAAGCCTCCTGGGGGCCTCTTGGGGGTCTCAGGGGGCCCCGTGGGGGCCGCTTGAGGGGAAAGAGGGGGCATGAGGGGGGATCGGGGGATCGGGGGATCGGGGATCGGGGGAGAGGGGGGATCGGGGATCGGGGGATCGGGGGACGAGGAAGATCGGGGGATCGGGGGACGAGGAGGAGGATCCCAGGATGGTCAGAGAAGACGGAACGATGACGAGAATAGTCGATGATTGCTGCTCCCGGGGGAGGAGGAGGAGGAGGAGGAGGAGGAGGAGGAGGAGGAGGAGGAGGAGGAGGTGGTTTTCGGTGCGTTGTGTCGTTTTGTGTTGTCGTGGTTGGCCTGTGTCAGGTTATCTTTTTGTTGTTGAGCCTTGCGTACTTGACCGCTTTAGCACTGCGCCTCGCGTTTCTTGTTGGGCCTGTCTCTGTGCCCATGTCCGCGTTGCACGTTGCGTTATCTTGGGGGTTCGTTCAGTGTTCTCCTTGCGCGTTGGGCTTCGCGTGCCGTTTTGGGCCTGTCTATTCGGCCCCTTCCGTGCTGGACTTCGCGTTTTGGGGGGGGGCCTGCTTATTTGATCCCTTCCGTGTTGCATGTCTTGCTGTTTGTGGGTCTGCATGTTTGACTGAAGTCGGGCGTGTCCCTCTACAGGGGGAATATTCAAAAATAGTAAAAACAAATTGTCTGGGGACGATGTGCTGCCTATGTTTGAGTATTTAGGGGGGTATGTTTGGGGTATGTTTGATGGTTCGCCCAAAATCCCCATGTATGGGGACATGCCAGATTTAATGTTACTTGTTGGGTCTGCATGCTTGACCTTTCCCGCGTTGGACGTCGCGTTTCTAGTCACGTACCGCGTGCGGGATGCCTCTCGCTTCGTGGGGTGCGCGTGCGGACCACGTGCAGCCCAGTCGTTCTGGGGGGTCCTTCGAGCCTCTTGCGGGCCTCTCGGAGGCCTCTTGGGGGCCTCTTGGGACCTTTTTTGTTGAGGGCTTCTTGGGTGCGTGTGTCATCAACTTACGCCGAAATGCCGAAGCGAGGGCTTGTCGGGCCGCGCTTCTGACGGACCGTGCTTCCTGCACGGACCCCCCAGCCCACAGCCCTGTCCTCATTCTCCAGCCGCTCCCTCATCCACCGGTCTCATATTCTCTTGGCTTCCTCCTCATCCTCCCCCTCCCTCCTCATCCTCCTCCTCCTCCTCCTCCTCCTCCTCCTCCGATCCTCCTCCTCCGTAGCAGGTTTGGTTCAACATTCCGATGTTGGCGGGCACGCTGCCCGCAGGCCAGCACGGCACGCCATTGGCCCAGGGCTCGTTTCGACGATTGCCTCCCGTCCTCTCCACATATGCACCCGCGCGGGAGATGCCTCGGGCTGCAGAGGCCCCTCCTGCTGGCTGGCACCGCGCGGTGACTGGTGCCGCGCAGCTGGTGGCCTCGTGCCTGGCGCTGCCAAGCCATCGCCTCGAGAACAGCACCGCGGCTCCCCTTCCCCGAGGAGAGGCGCCCCCTGGGCTGACGCTGCTGGCGTCGTCACCGAGGTCCAGGAGATGGACGGGGTCAGGCGGGAGCTGGAGGAACTCCTCGCGGAGCAGGTCGCCGACGCCAGCGCCTCCTTCAAGGCCCCAGCGGAGAAGGTCGCTGCCCACGCCCAGGCCAAGTTCATGGAGCACGTCGCGCCCACCACGCTCAAGCTCACCGCGCGCCAGGAAGCCACCGAGAATGACATCGCAGACGTCAAGCGCCGCATGGCTGACTCCGAAGCTGCCAACAAGTCCCTCCATCGGCCCGTCGACCAGCTGAAGGCCGCCATCGCCATGGCGGAGGCGCAGGTCCCAAGCATGGACGTGGCCAACCTCGGCGATTAGAACCGAGCTGGCCACGTGGAGACGTTATGGTGCTGTTCGCCCTTGGACATGTCCAAGGACGCAGTCAAGGTGGCGCTCACGGACTGGTTTGCGGCCGTTGGCGTGGATCTCGGCACGGCGCGATACAACGACAACACGCCAGTCGAGCGCATCTCCTTCACGTTGCTTGGAGGCAACGCCGTGGCCGCGCCGCGCGCTCCAAGCTCTGTATCATCATCCTCGCACCGGTCGCGACTGGCGCACATTCACCATCGAGCGCGAGGACGTCGTCTACCCATTCTACGTCAGTGCGGACATAGGGGGCCCAAGCTGGCGCGGCAGGAAATCCAGATCAAGAAGTTCGTCGCCAGCGCCGCCCCAACCGCGCCCCCCAGGGCCCATCGCTTCGAGGGCTACCTCTGCGTGGATGGCGACCCCAATCGCCCGCATCTTCGCGGGCTGCAAGCCCGAGGAGGCGACGCAGATGCAGTGACGTGCTGCTGCTTGTCGCCACGTCGTGGGCAGCAACTTTCAGAAAGCGTTCGACGACGCTCTCGCAGCCGCCTTGGCCGACCCACTGCCCGCAGCGTCGTGGCTGCAGCGAGGAGCGGGCCCCTTGAATGCCAGCGTCTGCCAACGTCGACTTCCCCATCGCGAGCTGGAACGCGCGGGCCTCCATCCCTTCCGAAACGGGCAAGCGCGACATCAAGCAGTCCGTCCTCGCCCCCCACATCCGCCAGCGCGCGCTGATCGCGCTGCAGGATATTCGCGGCGCTTCCGCGAAGCTGCGCCAGGCGGTGAACTCCTCGGCGGTGAAGTACGACATCTATCACTCGGCATGCCCTGGCAACCCTGCCGCCGGTGGAACGGCCTTCTCGCTTCCGAAGCATGAAGCACGCAGCAGCGCCACGGAGGAGACTCCAAATACTGAGGTCATATCCATTATTATCGCCCACGGGCGCGTTGCTGAATTCTTTACGCTTCGCGTATCCCCACCAGCCCATCTCACAGCAGCAACTCTTGCGAAGCATGCCGACAGTCGTGTTTTTCAGGCGTGTGTCCGCTTGGCCCCGCATATCTCCCCTGTTCCTCCCTCCTCCCGCCTCCTTGCACATCCTCCTTGTGGGGGGAGCGGGAGAAGGACGAGGCGGAGGAGGAGGGAGAGAAAGCGCTCCTCGTGATTTGAGTCGCTTGGGGGTTCTCGTCCTGGTGTGAGTCGTTCGGGCCCTTCTTCCTGGTGTGAGTCGTTCGGGCTCTTCGTGGTGTGAGTCGTTCGGGCTCTTCGTCCTGGTGTGAGTCGTTCGGGCTTCTCGTGGCGTGAGTTGTTCGGGCCCCTCATCCTGGTGTGAGTCGTTCGGGCCCCTCCTCCTGGTGTGACTCGTTCGGGCTCCTCGTGGTGTGAGTCGTTCGGGGCCCGCGTCGTGGTGTGAGTCGTTCGGGCTCCTCGTGGTGTGAGTCGTTCGGGCGCCTCGTCCTGGTGTGAGTCGTTCGGGCCCCTCCTTGTGGTGTGAGTCGTTCGGGCTCTTCGTGGTGTGAGTCGTTCGGGCCCCTCGTCCTGGTGTGAGTCGTTCGGGCTCCTCGTGGGGCCTCTTGGGGGCCTCTTGGAGCCTCTTGGGGCCTCTTGGGGGCCTCTTGGGGGCCTCTTGGGGGCCTCTTGGGGGCCTCTTGGGGCTTCTTGGGGGCCTCGTGGGGGCCTCTTGGGGCCTCTTGGGGGCCTCTTGGTGGCCTCTTGGAGCTCTTGGAGCCTCTTGGGGCCTCTTGGGGGCTTCTTGGGGGCCTCTTGGGGGCCTCTTGGGGGCCTCGTGGGGCCTCTGGGGGCCTCTTGGGGGCCTCTTGGGGGCCTCTTGGGACCTCTTGGGGGCCTCTTGGGGGCCTCTTGGAGGCCCCTTGGGAGGCTCCTGGGGGCCTATTGGGGCCATCTTGGGGCCTCTTGCGACCTCCTCTGAAGCGCAAAGGAGCGCTGCCCCCTGAGAAGGGCAAAATGAAGGCAAAACCTTGGTAAAATCAATGGTTGTGCTATGAAGGCAGATGAGTGCGGCCCCCTGAGGAGGCCAAAATGGGGCCAAAACCGTAGTAAAATCCATGATTTTCGCTTCAAAGAAGAGGAGAGGGGCCTATCTCCGCCCCCCCGTCGGGGCCAGAATCCTCGTGAGGGTCGTCGTTGTTTGGCCCTCCCAGGAGTCGGAAAAGACCCCTCCAACGACCCGCGAAACCCCCTCTCCAGGTCCAGGGGGAGGGGGTAGGGGGAGGGGTAAACCCCTCCCCGAAGGGGAAGAAGGGGGGTTGAGAACAGAGCGGGCTCTCTAAACCACTCACGCCCAAAGGGCTGGTGGGATTTTGCATCCGAAACCCGCCGCGACGACGCACGCACATCTATTTCAACATTCATAACCACGACCTCTCCATGGACGATCGCAATCGTTTCGAGGCGGCGCGGCAGGCCGTGATGACAGTGACCAGAGCGGGCCCAGACCACGCGATGACGTTCATGCTCGGCGCCTTCAGCATTTGAGGCTTCTGCGCGCAGTCTCACCGGGCTGGCGGACCTCAGCGCGGCCGAGCGCGATCAGCATCAGCGAACATGTTGGAAGTAGCTCTTCGAAGACATGATCGAGATGTGTAGGCCTTCCTCCACGCATCCCTGCTCCGCCACCAACTCCGCGTCCACTATATATCGCCCCTTCACATCGTTCGCCGCGCACAACTTAACACATCTCGAGACCATCGTTGTCACTTGTAGCGTTTCAAACCCAGATAGCAGCGCAGCCGACAGTCGAAAGCGCGCAACATGCCCGCGGGCGATCCTTGCAAGGGCGCTGGAAAGCACGCCCGAGGAGCTTGCAAACTCGAGGAAGGAGCTTCGCAAGAGCCCCGGGGGAGCTTCGAAGGAGCTGCGGGAAGGCTTCTAGCACGCGCATCGGGAACACGCGGGAAGACGCTTTCTAGAACATGCTGGAAGCTCAAGCAAGTC